GGGGGTGGGGGACAGATTCTCACTATGTCACCCTCACTGATGCGAAACCCCTAGCATTCTGATGCCAGAGTATGCATCCTTAACTACTGTGCCAAGTAGCTTTCTTTTTTTGTGACAGAGTCTCACTCTGTTGCTCAGGCTAGATAAAATGCAGTGAACATCATATAGCTCACTGCAACCTCAAACTCTTGGGCTCAAGCATTTCTTCTGCCTCCCTCAGACTTCTGACTAGCTGGGACTATAGGAGCATGCTACCATGCCTGACTAATTTTCTTTCTTTATTTTGTTTTAGAGATAGGGTCTTGCTATTTATTTATGTATTTATTTATTTATTTTTAGACAGAGTGTCAGTATGTCGCCCTCGGTAGAGTGCCATGGCGTCACAGCTCACAGCAACCTCAAACTCTTGGGCTTAAGCAATTCTCTTGCCTTAGCCTCCCAAGTAGCTAGGACTACAGGTGCTTGCCACAATGGCAGGCTACTTTTGGTTGCAGTTGTCATTGTTGTTTAGCAGGCCCAGGCCGGGCTCAAACCCCACCAGCCTTGGTGTATGTGGCCGGTGCCCTATTCATTGAGCCAAGGGGTCTTGCTGTTTTGCCCAGGCTGGTCTTAAGCTCCTGGCCTCAGGGATCCTCATACTTTGGCCTCCCAAAATATGGCATTACAGCCTGACTGGGAAGGTTATATAGAGCCTGACTTAGCCTGTTCCCTACTGATGGGCACTAAATTTGCTTCCAAGACTCTACTCTTACAGACACTGAGATGAACACCTTCACAAATATGCCAAGTAAAAGGTGGAAAATATCTGATGGCTTAGGATAAAATTCTGTGGGTTTTTTTGTTTTGTTTTGTTTTCTTTTCTTGAGGCAGCGTCTCAAGCTGTCACCCTGGGTAGAGTACTGTAGCATCATAGCTCACAGCAACCTCCAACTCGGGGTCAAGTGATCCTCTTGCCTCAGTTTTTCCATTTTTAGTAGAGATGGGTTCTCGTTTTTGCTCAGGTTGGTCTTGAACTCATGAGCTCAAGCAATCTACCCGCCTCAGCCTCCCAGAGTGCTAGGATTATAGGTGTGAGCCACTGCACCTGGTTGCTAAGGATAAACTTCTTTTTTTTTTTTTTGAGACAGAGCCTCAAGCTGTCCCCCTGGGCAGAGTGCCGTGGCATTACAGCTCACAGCAACCTCCA